TGTATGTTGAAATATATACATTTCAAAAAATAAATAAGCAAAAAAAAAACAGATTTAAGTGCTAATAGGATATGAGATGTTAATTTCAAAGTTAGAGATCAAATCAGTGAAATGAGAATTTGGACGTGTATTTATATGTAGTTCCTAAAAAACCGTATGATCTTTTCTTATGTAGTACTTAACATATATATTGATAATTCTATATTAGTGGTTGTATTTGCTTGAGTTCATAAACTTGTTGATAAGATTCATAAACTGTTTTTGAACACAAACCATCAAATTGGTCCCTCTTTTTGTTTCTTTGAAAAAAATCATTTCATACAAGCGATATAGACAAGAAACAACAAGTTGAGAAGTTTTGTAACACTTTGTTTTAAGAAAAAAAAAAACAAAAAAGAGTAAGACTTTGCCAAAGTTAATGCTTCGAAGACTTTACCTTTGCCATGGTTAAGGAGCCCAAAAGAAGCAACTGATCCCCGAGTCTCAAGTATTGACTTCGAAAACAAATATTAGGGTATATATATATATATATATATATATATATATATATATATATATATAAAGTATGGTAATTGATATCTAAATAACTATTATAAGATTTTAAAAAGTAAATAGTATGCCCAAAAAATAGTTTGAATACTTATGTTACTACTATTTTGAGTTTTTGCTATTCAAATAAACATTCAATCACAATAACAAAAGGGAACTAAAAGATTCTAATTAAATTATTTCATCTTATGCAAATATTATATATATGATGATAAAAAATTCAAATATTAATTTCATGGATGCAATATGAAAATAAATAAGTGTTGTTTTAGAATTTTAGCATCAATTCTGATATAAAATATTTAAATTTTCTCTATATAATTTTCTTTAAAAAATATGAAACAAAATTTTCTTTTAGTTCGCGTAAAAAATATTGAAACAATACGAATATGACAATATCATAGTCATTGATTGTTTTGTTAGTTATTTATTTAAGACTTTGGGAGTTTAGTTTTTGTAAACTTTCAAAAATTATTAATTGTGAAATTTCTTTATTTCAAACTCATTTTTTCATCTCTTACCTTCCCTAACTTGATCTTAATGATCTATATTTTCACAAATCATTATGCGCAAATCAGAATTTTGGATTGTTTATTTAAAATAGAAAAACCAAACAAATTTTTTGCCTATATTGATATGTTAATTAAATGAATCTTTCGATCTTAAAATTGAATTACGTACACTATAATATTTTTTTTATTTTTTTTGTCAAAATATTAAAGTTTATACTAGATTTATACTTTTTACAAACCACGGAAATAAAACGTAAAGAAACACCAAAATTATACAGCAAACATCAATACGACAGAAGACCACAAATAGAAATAAAATTAACGAAAGGAGCTAGCATGCACTGACAGATAAAGACACGAAGAAACCTTCGGTGTTGCCACGAGTGATCCGCGATCCGAAACCAGTCCTTAATACTTCGGAAAGAGCGGTGCTTACACTCTAAATTAGTTTACAAATCACGGAAATAAAACGAAAGAAACAGAGAAGACCAAAAACTATGCAGCAAACAACAATACGCGACAGAAAACCCATAAAAATAAAAAAAAATAAACGAAAGGAGATAGCATGCTCTAATGGAAGAAGACACGAAGAAATCTTCGATGTTGCCACGAGTGAACCGTGATCCGCACCCAGCTCTTAATACTTCGGAAAGAGCGGTGCTTACACTCTAAATCAGTTAAAATAAAATTTGTATATCTAAACTAAAACTAAACACCATACTAAACCAATATATTTTATTTTTAATCTAGAAATTAAAACAGAAAACCTTTATATAAGAATTCTAGGATTGTTTTTTACAAGTGCATTAAAAAGAAAAATATAGCATCCAATATCCAAAAAAAAAATTATAAAAATGATGACATCAACGCTTCACAAAAACACACATCCATGAAAATGTCAGAACCTTAACACTCTCCTCCTCTATAAATACTCATAACCTCAAACCTTAGATTCCTCATTCCTTAAACCCTAAACATCTAAAATTCTCTGAACCTTCACAAAGATCACAAAAATGGAGGTCGAAGGCAAAGGAGGAGAATCTGGAACCACCACCACCACCACCGCACCCCGGAGATTCGCACTTCCGGTGGATGCCGAGAACAAATCCACAACTTTCCGACTATTCTCACTCGCTAAACCTCACATGAGAGCTTTCCATCTCTCATGGTTTCAATTCTTTTGCTGCTTCGTCTCCACTTTCGCAGCTCCACCTCTCCTCCCTGTCATCCGTGAAAACCTTAACCTCACCGCCACCGATATCGGAAACGCCGGAATCGCCTCTGTTTCCGGCTCTGTTTTCGCTCGTATCGTCATGGGCACGGCATGTGATCTTTTCGGTCCACGTCTCGCCTCCGCCGCTTTAACCCTCTCCACCGCTCCCGCCGTTTATTTCACCTCCGGGATAAAGTCTCCGATAGGGTTTATCATGGTGAGATTCTTCGCCGGATTCTCTCTGGCCACTTTTGTCTCGACACAGTTCTGGATGAGCTCTATGTTCTCTGGACCCGTCGTTGGGTCGGCTAACGGAATCGCCGCCGGGTGGGGTAACCTTGGAGGAGGTGCGACGCAGCTGATCATGCCCATCGTGTTCTCGTTGATTCGGAATATGGGAGCCACCAAGTTCACGGCGTGGAGGATCGCTTTCTTCATCCCTGGCCTCTTTCAGACTCTCTCTGCTTTCGCCGTTCTCTTGTTCGGTCAGGTAACAAACCAATCACACTCACCGGTTCAGTTATTTCGGTTTATTCAATTTATCCGGTTTTGAGAATTTTTGACCGAGATTTTTTGGTTTTGGTAAAATTTACTTTGTAGTGACAAATCGGTCTAATGATACCGCTTTGGGTTTCGTTTCGGTTCATGTAGTAGAATCTTTTAGTCGGTTACTCATGGTCGAACTTCGTTGGATATGGACAAAAACTGTTTAAATCATCTAAATAGTGTTTATTACAAGGAACTGAAAAAAGGATACATTTATTTTGTCACTAATTTTTTTTATTTTTAAAAAAATTTAAAAGGACCTTCCTGATGGAGATTATTGGGCTATGCATAAATCTGGAGAGAAGGAGAAAGATGATGTGGGGAAAGTGATCCATAATGGAGTCAGAAACTATAGGGGATGGATAACAGCATTAGCATATGGCTATTGTTTTGGAGTAGAGCTTACGATTGACAACATCATCGCAGAATATTTCTTCGATAGGTTCCATTTAAAGCTTCAGACAGCTGGGATTATAGCAGCGAGTTTTGGACTGGCCAATTTTTTTGCTAGACCTGGAGGAGGAATTTTCTCTGATCTAATGGCTAGACGTTTTGGCATGAGAGGAAGGTTGTGGGCTTGGTGGATTGTGCAAACACTAGGAGGTGTGTTATGCGCATTTCTTGGCATGATTTCTTCTTTGACATGGTCTATAGTTGTTATGCTCATCTTCTCTGTCTTCGTCCAAGCCGCTTGTGGACTTACCTTTGGCGTTGTTCCTTTTATTTCCAGAAGGTATAAAATCATTGCATATATTTTGGTATTGAATTGTTTGATTGGGTTATATTATCCAACAATGTTTTTTGTTTTGGTTATGTAGATCTCTTGGGGTGATATCGGGAATGACTGGTGCGGGAGGCAACGTAGGTGCGGTCTTAACGCAGTTGATATTCTTCAAAGGATCGACATACTCGAGAGAGACGGGTATAACTCTAATGGGGATTATGTCAATCGCATGTACGTTACCAATATGTTTGATTTACTTTCCGCAATGGGGAGGTATGTTTTGTGGACCCTCTTCCAAAAATGTAACTGAAGAAGACTATTATCTCTCCGAATGGAACTCCGAAGAGAGAGAGAAGAACTTACATCTTGCAAGCCAAAAATTCGCGGAAACCAGCGTTAGCGAAAGAGGTCGAGCCACAACTCATCCCCAAACTTGATAAAGTCATGGGTTTTTTTTTTGTTTGTTTATATGTATGGACTGTTGAGTATGTTTTTGTCTTCTTATCTGTTGTTTTTCTAAGAGTTTTCAAGAACTCAATTTCTTGATTTTATTTATAATTCTGTGATAAGTTGTGTATGCTATGTAAAACCTACTGGTTACTACTTTCTTTGTATGGAAGACTTTTGTAAATGTTTGTTCACCATGAAATGAACCAACGTATTTTCATTTGGTATTCATAATTTTTTTATTTAGTTATCTTTTTGTTTATCGTGATGATAATGATTTGACCACAATAGTACAAACCTAGATTCATAATTCACAATAACACATTCAACCTTGTAAAATGTAAACTATGGATCGACGTTTCGATATTCATATGCGCTTTCACATCAAATAACTTAGACAAATACATAGTTACAACTTGGTATTTTATTTCACTATTAGATATTTAATGTGTTGAAAACAAATATAGAGATTAGTTGAAATCAACTTTATATTTACTTATTATTATTTAGTAATACATCATTAAGAACAAAGAATTTTTTGTTGGCCAAAACAAACAAAAATTTCATTAATTCCGCTTTACGAACGATATTTTAAACAAAATGGTTTGTCTTTATGTCAAAAGTTCATTGAAAGATGACATAACTTTGGTATATGAAAAAAAAAAAAAAAAAAAAAAAAAAAAAAAAAAAAAAACTTTGGTTATTGAAAAAATCCCAGAAACCTGGAAGGTTTTAAAAAAATAAAAATTTTTTTTACCCCAACTTTTTAAATTTTTCCAAATGGAAAAAAAAAAAAACTTTGGAAATTTTCCCCCCCACTTATGGGGCAAAAAAAACCCATAAGGGCCCAATCCCATTTCCATAAGGCCCCGGGGGGCCCAAAAATTTTTCCGTTACCACCTTTATATGAGATAAAAAAAAAAAAAAAAAAAAAAAAAAAAAAAAAACCTTTGGTATATGACAAATACCATGAAACCTGACAGTCTTCAATAGATCAAATATCTTTTTAGCCCAACATCTTTAATATGTTCAGATTGAGAGAGAAGAAAAACTTTGTAATCTTCTCGCTCAGCTATTGGGCTAACAAAAGCCACTATGGGCCTATTCCCATTTCATTATGTCTCTTGTTGGCCTATTACTTTTTCGTTTACTACCTTTAGACAATTAGAATAAAATCTTTTATCATGTTTCCCAATATACCACATTGATTGCTTTGCACGTAGCAAGAAGTAGGCCATATGGAGTCCACGACACAAAACTCTGAATGGTCAAAGATATAAAACAAATTGAAGAGTTGTCGCATGTTCTTATAACCATTTATGAATTATAACTGCATTTGATTTTATTGTATTGTTTAGCCTAGTCGTGCGATGAAATATCAAAATTAGTCACCGTTGATTTTACATGACAGTTATACTTATACAGTAATGGACAGACACACACATATATATTAAATTCTACTGTGAAACGCTAAGTCAATAGGATTAACTGGTGTAAAGCTGTCTGATTAACAAAAACTTAAGTGTGAAAGCTGTCTTTTACCACTCTTCCAAACACTCCGACGTACCCAACTCTAGCTATTAACTTCTATATAATTCATAAACCATTGATTCCTAAAGATCGCAAGAACCTCGATTTCATTCTTCTTGTTACCTCTAAGCACTCTCTTTCTCTCCCTCTCTCTCTCTCTTGTGGTCGGAGAATGGAGAAGGATAATGACTTCACGGATCCGTTTCTGGCGTCAACTGAGGAGGAGGAGCTCGACCCGATGACCCAAAAAGCATTGATGGATTATCTTGGAGTCGGAAGCAGAGCATCTTCTCTTGTCTCCTTCTCCTCTACCGCCGTCGATATCCCTCCAATCTCCGGCGTCGTAGACTTTGTCAGAGAGTTTAGAATTGAGTCTAAAAAGCTATGGAAACTAGCAGGCCCTGCCATTTTTACATCGATGAGCCAGTACTCTCTCGGAGCCGTCACTCAAGTTTTCGCCGGACATATTAGCACTATTGCTCTTGCCGCCGTCTCCATTGAGAACTCCGTCATTGCCGGCTTCTCCTTTGGTATCATGGTACGTTTTACATTGATATATCTCCCCTGACCACATTTTTCCCATCCTATTTTTTTATATATATAGTATATTGACAAATCTTTTGCATGTTTAAGGACCAACAATTATTTAATTTACTGCACAGATGCTGGAAAATCCTTCAAATATTGTGATATACATAGTTTTATTACAATCATATATAAAAAAAAATATCGCATCTCTTTATCGACTAGACTAAATTAGTTATTATACTTTTAAATTAAATTTCAAAGTTTTAAGAATTTACAATCGATCTATGAACTTAACGATGAAAAAAGTTACAATCTATATAACAACCTATCATTTGTTGTATATTAGCCGTACTATATAAAAAACTAGTGTAATCGATTACTATAGTTTATATGCAAAATTTAAAAGTTCTTACGGCTTTGATTTTTATGTATGGTGCCATTAGCTTGGAATGGGAAGTGCGTTGGAAACGCTATGCGGACAAGCGTTTGGAGCAGGGAAAGTATCAATGCTCGGCGTTTACTTACAACGCTCGTGGGTTATTCTAAGCATAACCGCTCTCTTCCTTTCTCTAATCTATATCTTTGCGGCTCCAATCCTAACCTTTATAGGTCAAACCGCTGCAATCTCGGCCACGGCAGGGATATTCTCCATTTACATGATCCCACAAATCTTTGCATACGCTATCAACTTTCCATCGGCAAAGTTTTTGCAATCGCAAAGCAAGATCATGGTTATGGCAGGAATCTCCGGTGTGGTTCTTGTGATCCATAGTTTCCTCACGTGGCTAGTCATGTCTAAGTTCCATTGGGGACTTCCTGGTTTAGCTTTAGTGCTTAACACGTCGTGGTGGTTCATCGTTGTGGCACAACTTGTGTATATCTTTAATGGTACGTGTGGAGAGGCTTGGTCTGGATTTACGTGGGAGGCTTTTCACAATTTGTGGGGGTTTGTTAAATTGTCTTTGGCTTCTGCTGTCATGCTCTGGTGAGTGCAAACATTTTTCTTTTGATCCAATATAATCCCCTTAATTCATATTTTAAATATAATTTATTTACTATTGTAGTTTGGAGATTTGGTATTTTATGGCACTCGTATTATTTGCCGGATATTTGAAGAATGCTGAAGTCTCCGTAGCTGCACTCTCCATATGGTAAAATTTATTATCTCTTAAGATAGACACTTCTCTTAAATTAATTAACATCTTCACAACATTTAAGGTTTACATGATTTCTTATTTGATTCATTTATTTATATAATCATAGAGATTCTCTGAATAAGACTAGACCCAACGTGCGTAGTAGTCTCTTATTTTGTCTTTTGTGGCAAGAAAAGCCTAATAGTCGATAATATATTTAAATCTTTCAAAGATTTTTAATCTATGTTGCTGGCCTGCCTAGTGTGACGGACCGTTTTAACTTTTAAAGATAGTATAGGGTTTTATAATAATGTATTAAAAATTCAAAATATTGAGTACTTCCATTATTGCAAATTTGCAAAGCATCATCTAATTATTTGTTGTCCTTAATGGTGTGTGGAATGTGAAGCATGAACATTTTGGGATGGGCAGCTATGGTTTCAGTTGGGACAAACGCAGCAGTAAGGTAAATTCAAGCGTGTGGAAACTAACTCTTTACAAAATTTACACATCTCACAAGTGCCAAGCTAATAATACATTTTTGTTGGCAGTGTGAGAGTGTCAAATGAGCTTGGAGCTAGCCACCCAAGAACGGCTAAGTTTTCTCTAGTTGTGGCGGTGATATTATCGACAACGATCGGGATGGTTATAGCGGCTGGCCTACTATTCTTCCGAAACGAGTACCCGGTTTTGTTTGTGGAAGATGAAGTCGTTAGAAATGTGGTTAGAGAACTCACGCCAATGCTTGCCTTCTGCATTGTCATCAACAATGTTCAACCCGTATTGTCTGGTAATATTTGTTAGTGGACTCCAATATAATATAGTTGTACATAAACTTCCAACTTAAAACCGATTGGATATTATAATGGTTTATGACACTTAATTATATGTTAGTTTGTATCGAGTTTGATCTGATGATGTGTTATTATGATAAATTTTGATTACGCAGGAGTGGCTGTGGGAGCGGGATGGCAAGCGGTTGTAGCGTATGTGAACATAGCATGCTACTACTTGTTCGGAGTCCCATTTGGTCTATTGTTGGGATTTAAGCTTGAATATGGAGTAATGGTAATGAAATTCACAGCTTTTTATCTTAAAGTTAAACCCCTTGTTGATTAGTTAAGGAATGACGAAAGATTGGAGTTTTTGATGTTGTGGAAACCTATATTGATCAGGGAATTTGGTGGGGGATGATGACGGGAACTTTTGTTCAATCGATAGTCCTGACTTGGATGATCTGCAAAACCAATTGGGAGAAAGAGGTAAGAAACCAAAACACTTTATAAGACCGAATCAACAAGATCTGGCTCACTGATCAGTTGTTAATATAATCTGTTGAATTATATATTTGTAGGCTGCAATGGCAGAGGAAAGGATAAGAGAATGGGGAGGAATAGCAGAGAAAGAGACTCTTTTGAACTAAAACGAGTTTTACTCAAAAGACATGTTAAGGAGTTTTTCAAATCACATTTTTGTATACGAGAACCTTAAAGGCAATTTGGTTCTGATCTCTTTCTAAAAAAAAGCTGTAACTTGTTATGTCATCAAACGCTGACGACAAGATATGTTATCTATAAACATCTTGACTTTTGAGAATTGGAGTCTTAATGAAAATTATATTTATCAAATCAGTGGAATACTAATCTCTCGGACACGACAGAAGTTGCTGAGTATAGACTCAAACGTCCCAAGACCCGAGAAGACTAATCAAGACAAGCAATAAACCCCAAAAACCAAAAGTATATCTAACTTTCAAACATAAGCTGAGCAAGAGTGATCATGATCTTATAACACATGCATATTCCAGAAAGATTCAACATTAAAATCAAAACCTAACCTATCAAGCACGGTTTTAAGCAACACAAATATCATAAGATAAACGACTAAACGAAATCTATAAATTCATTAAAACTCGTCAAATTGTTTGAATAAACATAATACATATCTAAGCAGTGAGGACAACAGCACCACCAGCTTCTTTAATTATTTTTTCAGCTGTCTTCGACACAAGCTTAGCCTTGACAACAACAGGTTTATTCTCCGGCAAGAAACCTTTACCTAAAACCTTAAAATACCCAAATTGAGTAACATCAATCATAGGCACATTGTCGTTCGTTGCTTTATCCTTAACGTCCTGGGGAACCATCGACCAAAGCTTGTCGAGATTGACGATCGGGCAGTAAAACTTGTTCCTGAGCTTGTGGAAATACCTCATACCAACTTTACCAAAATATCCAGGATGATACTTGTCAAAGAGGATACGGTGATGATGCATACCTCCGGCGTTACCACTGTTAAAGCCTCATCATCAACTGGGCCAGCTCACAACAACAAAGCCCAAGAGCAGTCCAATCTTCAGTCAGTCAAAGTTCCAACGGTAATGTTGACTGAAAGCAGAGCAAGCTCACGCCAAAGCAATGGGAAGAAGACGACAGAGACAGCTCATCCAATGCTACTCTCAAATAGATTCGCATCTCTATTGGATCTAGAGTCATAGCTGTCACCTGACACCTCATCAAAGATCTAGATAGTTCTTCCTGTCTATATAAAAGTGAGAGCTTGTACTAGGGTTTTTCTATGAGATAATAATATGAAAGTTTGAGTATTTCTCTTCTTTATCTCTGTCAAGAGTAAAACTACATGGTATCAGAGCCATGGCGGCACAACCTTCTGCTGTCACTACAGCTACTCTTTCTATTTCTCAGTGTGTCACACTCAAGCTAAATGATACAAATTACTTGTCTTGGAAACTTCAGTTTGAGCAGTTTCTCAACAGTCAGTTGCTTCTGGGCTATGTCACAGGTGCTTTGGCTCGTCCTCCTCCTACGGTGGTTGTCAGAAATGGAGAACAAGTCACAGAGGCCAACAATCCAGAGTTTCTCAAATGGATGCAGACCGATCAACTCATTATGGCGTGGATCTTTGGATCTCTGTCTGAAGACACTCTCAAAAGTGTCTACGGTCTCGATTCTTCGCAGGAGGTATGGTTTTATCTCGCTAAGAAGTATAACCGGGTTTCAGCTACTAGAAAACTTGACATTCAGAGGAAGATTCAGACTACCACTAAAGGAACCAGATCTCTGGCTCAGTACTTGTCAGAAATCAAAGCACTCTGTGATCAACTAGACTCGATTGGTGCTCCTATTTCTGAACAAGAGAAAATCTATGGTGTCTTGTCTGGTGTTGGTAGGGAATATGAGTCTATAGTCACAGTTATTGAGGAATCGATGGATCTTCCAACAAGTCCTAGTTTCGAAGATGTGCTTTACAAGCTCACCAACTTTGATGACAAGCTGCAGAAGTATGAAACTCCACCAGAAGTGAATCCTCATCAAGCCTTCTATACTACTATGGAAGAAAACTCACACAAAGCTTTCTATACTGCTAAGGAGGCTACTCTGGTAGAGGAAGAGGTCAAAACAGGGGTGGTTCACGAGGTCGCAGCTCCTATACCACTCAAGGCCGAGGCTTTCCGCAACAATTTGGTCAAGGAAGCAACAAAAACAATTATGGAGCCAATGATCAACGTCCAACTTGCCAGATATGCGGAAAATACGGTCATGCTGCTTATAAGTGCTATAAGAGGTTCGATGAAAATTTTCAGACTGAAGTAGAGACCTTTCCTCAAGCAATGGCGGCTATGAAACTGAATGATTCACCTCAGTATCCTGGAGGAGGCTGGTATCCTGACTCAGCAGCAACTCACCACATCACGAATACTCCTGCAAATCTGAATGTTAGTCAGCCATATGATGGAACAGAAGCTGTCATAGTGGGGAATGGTGACTTTTTGCCTATCACTCATGTTGGATCAACAGGTATCACTGGCACTTTACCTCTTAAGGATGTGTTAGTATGTCCAGAAATAGCAAAATCTTTATTGTCAGTGTCTAAGTTGACAGATGATTATCCCTGTAAGTTTGAGTTTGACTCTGAATCTGTGTGTGTTAAGGACAAAGTGACAAATCAAGTTCTAAGTCAGGGAAGCAAAATTAAAGGCTTGTATAAGTTGGAGAATCCTCAATTCTTGGCGTTCTATTCATCCAGACAACAGACTACCAGTGATGTAATTTGGCACAAGAGATTGGGGCATCCTCATCATCAAGTTATGCAACACCTATCTTCAGTTAATGCTATTTCATTCAATAAGACTACTAAGTCAATGTGTGAAGCGTGTCAGTTGGGAAAGACATGCAAGCTACCTTTTTCAAGATCAGAGTTTCAAGCAAGCCAACCACTTGAGAGGATACATTGTGATGTTTGGGGTCCTGCACCAGTCGCTTCAGTTCAGGGTTTCAGATTTTACATTGTATTCATAGACAATTACTCAAGATTTTGTTGGTTATTCCCTCTAAAGTTGAAATCTGATGTTTTTGAAGTTTTTAAGAGCTTTCAAACACTTGTGGAAAATCAGTTTAATCACAAAATCAAGATTTTTCAAAGTGATGGTGGAGGAGAATTTATCAATAGACCACTACAGGATCACTTCAAAGTCTGTGGTATTCAACACTTCATTTCATGCCCTCATACTCCTCAACAAAATGGACTTGCAGAAAGAAAGCATAGACATATAATGGAGTTAGGTATGTCAATGTTGTTTCACAGTCATCTTCCACAAAATCTCTGGGTAGATGCTGTCTTTACTGCAAATTTCTTGAGTAATCTCTTGCCAACTTCATCACATGAAAAGATGCAGAGTCCTTTTGAAGTTTTGAATGGTACTCGCCCAGTCTATACTGCACTAAGAGTCTTTGGGTGTGCGTGTTATCCATACTTAAGACCGTATAGTGAAAATAAGTTTGATCCCAAGTCATTGCTGTGTGTTTTCCTTGGCTATACAGAGAAGTATAAAGGGTATCGATGTCTTCATCCTCCAACAGGTCGAGTTTACATTAGTAGACATGTCCTCTTTGATGAAACAAGATTTCCGTATACTGATACTTACAAGAATCTACTGTCTGCTGCAACTACTCCTCTGCTACATGCATGGTCATTGGGTACAGCTCAGAGAATTGAAGAGTGTCTGCAAGACAGAACAGTGGAAGAAGAGTTGGTGTATACTCCTACAGAACAAGAAACAGTGACACCACCACATCAAGAGGTTACAGAATCTGAGCACCACTCACCACAACAACAATCACAACAACAAAGCTGTGTCAATTCTGAGGATTTACAGTCAGATACTTCTCAAGCTGCACCCACACATCCCATGATCACCAGAGGGAAGCACGGGATTCATAAACCAAATCCTAGGTATGTCTTATTCACTATAAAAGGGATACCAGAGGAGCCAAAATCAATTCAAGAAGCTCTAAGTCATCCGGGATGGATAGCAGCTTGTGAAGAAGAGATAGAAACTTGTCATGCTACCAACACTTGGAGTCTGGTTCCCAGAACCCCAGACATAAATCTCTTGGGTTGCAGATGGATATTCAAAACAAAACTAAATGCTGATGGGACTTTGGATAAACTCTGCGCAAGATTAGTAGCAAAAGGGTATGAACAGGAAGAAGGCATTGACTTTCTGGAAACCTATAGTCCTGTAGTAAGGACAGCTACAGTAAGAATGGTGTTACACACAGCAGTAACTGAAAGATGGGATATTAAACAGTTAGATGTGAAGAATGCATTTTTACATAGGGAATTGCAGGAAACAGTTTACATGAGGCAACCACCTGGCTTTGAAGATTCAGAGAAACCAGATCATGTGTGTTTGCTTCATAAAGCCATTTATGGCCTTAAACAGGCACCAAGGGCCTGGTTCGACAAATTCAGTTCATATTTGATTGAGTTTGGGTTCAAATGCAGCCAAAGAGATCCATCTTTGTTCATCTTTCAACAAGACCAGAGTGTGTTGTTGTTGCTCATGTATGTGGATGATATGGTTCTTACTGGAAATGATTCAAGCCTAGTTTCAAAGCTTCTAAGTAAGCTGAATGAAAAGTTTATGATGAAAGATATGGGTCCTCTCAAGTATTTTCTGGGAATTCAAGCTCAGTTCACACCAACAGGTCTATTCATGAATCAAGAAAAATATGCTCTGGATCTTCTTCAAACTGCAGGTATGTTGGACTGTGCTCCAATGCCTACACCACTTCCTGTTCAGCTAGACAGACTGCCTCATCAAGATAAAATTTTTGAAGATCCAACCTATTTCAGAAGATTGGCAGGTAAATTGCAGTACCTGACCTTAACAAGACCTGATATTCAATATGCAGTAAACTTCGTTTGTCAGAAGATGCATAAACCATCAGTGTCAGATTTCAATCTCTTGAAAAGAGTTCTCAGATACTTGAAAGGAACAGTAAAGATGGGACTGATGCTCACTTCAGAAACTGATTCAACTCTTCGAGCATATAGTGACAGTGATCATGCGGGTTGCAAAGAAACAAGGAGGTCTACTGGAGGTTTTTGCACGTTTCTCGGGTCTAACATCATATCCTGGTCTGCAAAACGGCAGGATTCAGTAGCAAGATCTTCAACTGAAGCTGAATACAGAATCCTCTCAGATACTGCTGCAGAAGTGTCTTGGCTCACTGCTCTGGTTCAAGAAATAGGACTGCCACAAGAGAAACCTCCTGAAATTTATTGTGACA